AAATTCTTGAAACAAGCATGATTCAAATTACTTAGTTTAATGAACTATTACTTAGTTTAATGAATTATTACTTAGTTTAATGAATTATTACTTAGTTTAATGAATTATTACTTAGTTTAATGAATTATTACTTAGTTTAATGAACTATTACTTAGTTTAATGATTTATTACTTAGTTTAATGAATTATTACTTAGTTTAATGAATTATTACTTAGTTTAATGATTTATTACTTAGTTTAATGAATTATTACTAGTTTAATGATTTATCACTTAGTTTAATGAACTATTACTTAGTTTAATGAATTATTACTTAGTTTAATGAATTATTACTTAGTTTAATGAATTATTACTTAGTTTAATGAATTATTACTTAGTTTAATGAATTATTAATTATTACTTAGTTTAATGAATTATTACTTAGTTTAATGATTTATTACTTAGTTTAATGAATTATTACTTAGTTTAATGATTTATTACTTAGTTTAATGAATTATTACTTAGTTTAATAAACTATTACTTAGTTTAATGAACTATTACTTAGTTTAATGAATTATTACTTAGTTTAATGAACTATTACTTAGTTTAAAAATTTCAATTTTTTTGTCATTTTAATCTGATATTTCGTCCAAATCCTTCAAAAGGCAAGGCTGATATCAATCGATTGGTTTTTCTTCCCAAGTTGAGGAATATGTGAATTATGAATATCTAGGATATTGCCAATAAAATAAAACATTCTACATTATTATTATAGTGACGTCATAAAACACATCACAAACCACAAACGCAAGACAATATTATGGAATAAGAACTCTCCTTTAATAAGATATTATTATATGTTTAATATTATATGTGAAGTGTGATTATTATTTAATATTGTCTTGTGATTGTGATATTTTCTCCTCACTTCTCAATTTCATTCAAATCTTATATCAAAAACTTAGTTTTAGTGGAATTGCAAGATTCAGACATCTGATTGAAAATTGGAATGATGTAAATTGATGCTAACAGTGTCCCTGATACACATAGAAAATTAAGAAAACTTCTTTACTATCTCTTTAAGTATTATAGTAAATATGTATTTCACCCAGATAAAATGAAACTTTGGATTATTGTACAGCTATCTCTGACCTATAGGTTACTTTATATTGAATGATGAGATAAGATTTGTCAAGTTAAAAACTTTATCAGAATGTCAACAATTCTAAAGTCCATGTTAATTCAAGAAATGTCTCTTATCATTTTCAAATTCTATCTGAATATATAGGTATTGTTATCTCGAGTGTCCAAGGGATACAGCCGTCTAATGATTAGGATTACAAGATTAAATAAAAGCTGTCCCATGTTGCTTTGCTGAATTAGAAATCAATGTCCAGATCTGATTTAAATAGAACACATGCGTCATTCGTTTGACCAATCATGTCTTAGTCTCAGAAACAGGAATTTTTTTTAGCTAAGCCAATCAGTAATAGTGTGTACAATTGTCAGAATTTTAACCTTCAAATTCATGAATTATCTGCATTTGAAATGATGTCTCCTTTTCTCTTGAGACTCTGTCATATATATTGAAAAACATCATAGAAATAGGAAGTAAAATTCCTGGTTTACAGTGTTTTTGAAGGGATTATGTGATTTTTGTACATTTCTGGTATTTCTGAAGATTATTTTCATATATGTAAGACCAAATCAACCCCCTGAAAGTGGTAAAATTGTCCCTCTTATATTTATAAGTAACTAAAGTCAGGTTCTCCTCATTTCTAGACCGTTCATAAGATATAGACATAGATATGATATCTTGTTGTATTAGGGATTGAAAGAGACAGAGATATCAGGTTTTAATACAATAAATATTTAGATGACAATATCCCTTATAGCTAAATATTAATCATCAATATTATCTGAGTATTGACTAGTCATTGTATTCTGTGTAATTGTGTAAGTTATGATCATTGTCAATAAATGTGTTAATTCTAAATTGTTTCCTGGAGATTAGTAGTATAAGCATCTTCTGAAATCTGAGTGTTGGAATTACAGACAAGACTTTGGAGCTGAGTTTTAATAGTTCCAGTTGATCTGTGACTCATCTGGAGTCACTTATTCTTTCCTGCTACATGGTTAACTTGTTTCTTTAGTTAAAGATGGGTTCCCTTTTTTTCATTTATGAAAATGAAATTACTAATACTTATATGAATAGAAAGTAGAGGTGTTCTAATGACTTGGAAAAATACCAGTTTGTCTCACAATTTATTCATAATTAGCTAAATTAGCAGTGAATTACTAGCAGAATTCCAATGACTGGCTGATCAAGAAAGATCAAAAAGTCTTTTTTTTGTTTGTTTATCCAGACTATACTTACACAGACATTTATGATTGGTTAAAACTCTTAATCATATGCAATAAGAACATAATGATATGAATAAAAATACATGATAATTCATTAGAAACACCAATTTATCAAATAGTTTGCTTAATTTGACACTAGAAATAAGGAAACCAACTTTAATAGTTGTAGTTATCAGTATGACCCCTTTCATTAACATAATTCTACGACATCAAACATTATTTTCTCTCCTACTTCATTGATAAATGATAAAAGGAACAGGTTCACCATTCGTTTGACCAATCATCTTTAAGTTAAGATGATTTGTATTTATATTTCAGAGTAACATGGCTGCCCTGATGAAGCTAGTCCAGCAGTTAAAATCATGGATTATATTTCACATGTTGATGGGTTACGTATTCGTGGCTAGTGGACTTATTATTTGTTTTCTCATGTTATGTAGCAGTGTAGTGTGGCCGTTTAATAAACATCTCTACAGAAAAATCATCGTTTATTTAGCCTACGGTCACTGGGCATGTAAGTTTTCTTCATCATAACAAATTTACCAAAGCAAGTTCTTTCTTAAACCTAAAGTGTAGTTATTTTCAAATTTGTTTGCCGATAGTCCAGAACAAAACCTGGCCATGCGTGATCATGACAACATTCATAATATGAACCATGGATTATACGTACAGATTAGTACAAATGAGATTTGTCAGACTAAGGAAGGAATATTGTGATTAATAAATTTATATAGAAATTGTAATATTTGTTATTTTGAATAGCATTCATTCCTGAAGTGCACTTACTATTTCTGTTCTATCACAGCCTTGAAAAACCCTTGAATTCCGACTGTTGCCTTGAAAAACCTTGATTTCAAAAAAAGTCTTTGAAAAACCATAAAAAACCCATTTTCTCTTGAAAAGTCCTTGAATTTTGAGTTGAGTCAAATTGTGTATATTTTTATCATTAACCCCATTGACAAATATTAACTATCTTTATTGATTTCACAGTTCAGAAGTAAGGTACATGTGTATTCTGTCAGACTAATATCCTTGAAAAGTCCTTGAATTTCAAAGTGCAGAGTCCTTGAAAAGTCTTTGAATCTTTGAGGCAAAGTGCTGTATGAAATCTGTTCTGGGGATTATTATAAAATGACTGTTATATTTTCAGTATTTATAGCGTTGGGTGAGTGGTGGTCTGGATCTGATTGTCTGCTATACTGTGATTATGAGACGTTGAATCTAGTGGGTAAAGAACATGTTCTAGTCGTGATGAACCACAAGTACGATATAGACTGGTTGATGACGTGGATTCTAGCTGAAAGATTTGGTATGCTTGGAGTAGGTTTGTTTTACTGTAATTATTTCTTACTGTCACATTTCAATCTTGATTTTTTTATACTCTGATTGTAATGATAGTCAAATTGCCTTAAATAAAAACCAGGAGGACTCTATATAGTTAAGCGAGTCAGACCATAACAAATGCTGACCATAACGAATGCCTATGTTCTGATCAACATCCTGTAACCTCGATCTGAAGTTAATAAAATATGTAAACCACGCTGGTTATAATATAATAAATCTAAGCTATAAACTTTGATATAGATTCTAAACCAGAATAAAACATTGATATCCTTCTATTTATAGAATTGTAAGATCTATGGTAAAGAAATGTTAAAATATGTTCCATTGATTGGTTGGGCGTGGTATTTCAACGAGAGTATATTTTTAAAACGAGACTGGGAATCCGATAAAAAAACTATCGAAGCTGATTTAAAAAAATTAACTGATTATCCAGACGGTTTCTGGGTCACAGTGAGTATCTCTTCATTTCATTGGTTGTTATTGAGGTGACAAATAAGGTCAAAGGTCAAAGTCAAGGGTTAATATGAGCGCCTCATAATCAGATTAAAAAAAATTTGACCTTACACTCATTTTTTATTGCATTATCTTGTGCATTTTTGTAGTAGATCTACATTACAGCTTATGAATTGATAAAGAGGTATTTTATGTTTGTTAGGTCTATCAGAAAAGTAGGATATAAAACGTCTCGTTTTCACAATATATAGCAGTTACAAACTGCCTCAAAATACTTGTACAATGTTTTACAATATTTCAATAGCCATCTCTTTCTATAACGGAAGATTGTAAATGCAGTGATTTGTTTGGATTGTACATTAGCAAATACAGCCAATCAGAGTCCTCAACAGAAAGACTGTAAACAAAAAGCCATACTGTTTACAGTCTGTCTGTCTCTGATGTCAGGGCTCTGATTGGCTGTATTTTTTGTATTTGGTGGCTATTGTAGACAAAGTTTGTAATAGCTTGACTTTGTAATGATGAAAACTCTGTTTGATTTGTATTGTATATTCCAGTGCCTATTATTCCCAGAAGGTACGAGGTTTACAGAAGAGAAATATCAGTCTAGTTTAGAAGTTTCTAGATCTCGAGGCTATCCTGATATGAAACATCATCTTCTACCTAGACCTAAAGGTTTTATTCTCTCCGTTCAAAATATGAAAGGAAAATGTAAGTTACTGGAATGAGACAAAAGAAAAATTCAGAATCCATAATCCGAGTTTTTTAGAAATAAACCCTCAAAACCCTCCCACACCCCTCACTATCACCAACCCCTCTCCCCCCACTCCCCACTCCCCATCACCCCTCATTCTTTGCATTCCACAATTATTTAAAACAACAACTTTATGATTATTTCAGTGCCAGCGTACTAGATCTAAATATTTCCTTCCTAAAAACGTACTGAAATTCTGATTCCACTGAAGTACCCCTCCCCAAACGTACCACCCCCCTTCTCAGTTAATGTGCTCTTTCCCTTCTACCATTGATTATACAATAACATCATTATAATTGTAATATTCTGACTTTCAGTTCCAGCTATATTAGATTTAACTCTTGCCTTCCCTAAAGATGGCCCCAAACCAACGTTAATGAATGTTATACAGGGGAAATCTATTACAGCTCATCTTAAAGTCAGGTAAGAATTATCTCATGTCGGGACAACCCTGAAACCTTGAAGTGTTGACATGGTTAAAGCCTGTGGTCTTTCAGATGGGACATGAGCTACATGCTGAACATGTTCCAAATCCTCAATGTTTGTATTCGTCATGTATTAGAAATTGCTACTAAAATGTTTTTTTCAGGAGAATTCCACTAGACAGTGTTCCTGTAGAAACAGATGAAGCTTGTTCTGTTTGGTTACGTGATTTATTTCAACAAAAAGTAAGTTAACATGTAGAAATAATGTGAACATCAAACTAGCTGTCCTGATGAGGGTTTTATTCTCAAAACATGCTTGAATTAGACATATGATAAGGCTCAGTTTCAGTGGCTAGAAGTAGTATATCTATATAACTTGTGTTTTAATGTTTATCTTCCTGATTCTATATGTCTTACAAAGATTATTTCTATTGTAGGATAAAATATTTGAAGATTTTGTAGTAAAACAGAAGTTTGAAGGAGAACCGTATCGTATACCGAGACGATGGTATAGTTTATCAGTGACTATATTCTGGTTTATTGTAACGTGTGTTCCGTTATTTAGATACATAGTCAGTGTATTTTTATCAGGAACTTTATTACAACAAATGATATTTATAGCCGTGATAACAATAGGTAAGTTACTGGGGTGTATCTAGAAATATCTCAGGGAGATTTCCGAAAGGACCAAAGACCCTTTATGGCAGGGGGTTCTCCAGAGGTTCTTAGATAGCCTTAGAATTTTGAGCATTTAGAGTGTTTAATCTTCACTTCAAAAAAAGACCTTTCAAATGACTTAAAGGACGGAGGGGCATGGCCCAATGGCCCTCCCCCTAAATACACCACTACACTACAGTTATAAGTGATAGTTGTATTGACAGATGTCAGCAACTTCTACCTTTTGTACAGGACCAGGAATTGTTCTCATATACAAACCTGACATCTTTTGCCATCTCGATCAGACGATTCCTCCCCTGTTGAAAGGCATTGTTCTAGACAGGGTGTTCTTGTTCAAAATTATCTTCAATTAAAACATTTCACCATTTCTACCTGATAAAATTGTTCCTCATCCTGTGAGAATATCTTTGTTAAACTATAGCTGGAGTCTGAGGAGAGTTATTACAAATTAAACAAATTATGAGCCTTGTATTTCTTATAATGGAAGTTGTCATTGTGCCTGCAATATGGGTAGGAATTTTATGGAACCAAAATAAATTTGCTTTCAATACAAGAAGGTAATTTTTCTGTTTCAGCTTCTATAGGTGTTCGCTGGATGATAGGGGTCACTGAAATCAAGAAAGGCTCACATTACGGTACAGAGAAGAAAACTCATTAAATGCTTAATTTGAATAAAATTAGCATAAATTATGCAAATTAGGGGCCATGATTGAGATATACTCAGGTCTTTATGACATTGATCATTTTAGATTTTTATTTCTTAAAAAAAAATAACATTTTCAACTTAGTCATTCCATGACAGGGAAAACAAATTGTCACTATAATGAAGTAATGATTAGAAATAGTTGGAATATATTGGTTTGTAGCTCAATTTCAACTGTATGTTTCAGCTTACAATCTAAAAATTGTTCAGATAACTTGAATTGAACTTAAATTAAGATGACTGTGTAACTGTAAGCAACATACAACTAATTTGTTTTACAGTTGTTATATCTACACGCAGTAAATAACTTATAGAAGTTTTACAGTTGTTATATCTACACGCAGTAAATAACTTATAGAAGTTTTATAGGCCGTCCAGCAACAATTAAAAAATCAAAATTTTTTGAGTTTTGCTAAAATTCCTTAAAAACTGTTGATATCAAGGGGAAATCCTTTTTTTTTGGGGTATTATCTACTAGAGGGGGGATCAGTGTATTGTTGTATCTAAATATCTACAACTGCCTGAATTTAGTTACAAACTTCATAATTTTTCCCTAATTAAACCCTAAAATTTCTTACTTTATCCCTTATTTTTCATCAATATGCTGGACAGCCTGGGTTTAGAGCTGAGTACTGCCAAGATTATCAGATATTCTAATGATTATGAATTCAGCTAATTACTACATGTAAATTCCAATGGAAATATTCAAACAGAATCATGTTGTTACTCAGAGTTTCACACTGTGCGATCTATAAATATAAATATAAATTGTTTCGGTACAACGAATATTTTAAGATTTATATACCATCTTGTCCATCCATGAATTGTTAAGCCAAGATATTTCTGCTCCTCCTGGGTAGAGCTTGTTTGGTGAGTTCTTAACAGGTTCTGTCTGTTCAAATTCTCAGCTGCGTTCTACAAAATACAATAGGAATTTGACGGAAGTACCATACATAAAGGTGTGGGCACATGAGAGGTCTTGGTTTTTTGTCTCCGACTCGAATATTGAGTACAATCTTGTGTGTGCCGTGCTTCCACTACAAGATTATCGACAGGATTTGTAATATCAAACAAGTTTGATAATTGTCTCCGATAGTTTTATCGTCTACAAGACAGACCGTCATCATCCAATCAGATTCATTTTCCTTTAAATTGCATGTTCCGCACGTGATTATCTACAAAGTTGAGAACGACCAACTGGAGATTTGTGTGCCCTTGCCAGTCGTTGAAAGTCAAGACAAGACTAATCGGCGACAAAAGTCTCTGACCAAGACTGCTCGTGTGCTGACACCTTAAGACAAAATTGATCATAAGATTTTTTGTGGAACAAGGCTGTGGCTTCAATCGAATGGTATGAAAGCTCCCATCTATTTCCTTCTCAGCCATTTTAAATTCTGTCTGTATCTTCTATATTTAGGAATACGTTCTGAACTCTGATCTAAATTATTTTATTGAATACTCCATGAATCCTGTTTGTGCAGAACTCACCAACTTGCTCGGCCCCCTGGTTCGATCATAAACACAGTTCACTTTATTTATAGGTAGAATAAATAGTAATAGAAACTATACAGACTAATCTTATATTGTGTTGATTATTACTTCTCTACTTAAAGATAAAATGGTCGTGTTTATCTTTGTCAATTTATTGTGATCAGTCTGGTATGAGGAGAAATATCTTGGCTAGACGTTATGTTGTACTATGTTTTTTGTAAATTATACAGGTTTTTTAAATGCACTTTTGATCTATTTACGATGAACTTAAATTTGTTAGATTGTTTTGTTTTGTGAATTGTACATCTTGTATCGATATATATTAGAAATATGGTATTGATTTATATCACGAAAATTATTACCTCATCATCGTCATTAATCTAAGGATGGATCATGTTCCGTCAATTTTTTGAATTGACCAAATAGATTACAATAAATCACTAAGATATATAGATATACTACTTCTAGTTTATTACATACTACGTTTAGAAACACAAACAGGTAACATTAAAAACACAAGTTATATAGATATACTACTTCTAGGTTTATTACATACTACGTTTAGAAACACATACAGGTAAAATTTTACTTGAGAACGTTTTATTGTAATCTTCCTACTTCTATATGTCTTATAAACAATATAACAATATTACAGCCAAACAATCAACCAAATAGATGATATATTAATTAATATCAAGATTATTTACAAGTGCTACAGTGTTTGATATAATATTAATATTACATTTAGAAATAGATAGAACATTCAATAAATAATAATACTATTATAGATATACATCTACTACTCCTATATTAAGTTATTTATAATATTTGAAGAAAAGAGTAGTATAATAATAATGTGTAATAGTGTTCTTATTTATTTAAAGTTCTTATATAATTTATATTTAAAGTTCATTTGTGCAGAAGTAAGTTTCTTCAAACTTGGTGTAAAAACAGTTTTAACCTTGAAATTACCACAGATCTTACAGACCACTTCAATTTGCAATACTTTCTATTATTTATTCAAAGAGGTTTTCTAATTTTTTATGTGTATCAGGGACACCGATTGCATCAATTTGTACCATTCCAATTTTCAATCAGAAATCTGTGGTTTTTAATTCCACTAAAACTAAGTGTTTGATGATGTCACTAATCAAAAAATATATCGTGTATAAGGCCTTCACGATTAGTGACGTCTTAAAACACTTAGTTTTAACGCAATTGCAGGAACCACAGGCGTCAATTGGAATGGTACAAATCTATACTGTCACTGTCACCTTTAATTGCATTTAATTCTTGCAATAGTGTAAATGCATTTAGAATTTGATTTTGATGTCATTATTTATGTATAATATTCTGGTGCCTGAGCTAGTCGCCCCTCCCCACCCCCCACAATTTATTGTTTATTTTTGCTTTGTTTATTTGTTGATTTTTATATATTAGTATTTATTTGTTATAAGCTTCCCCAGCAATAATTATATTATTACTATATTTTTAGCTTATTAATTTCACTTGATAAAGCCTGTATAAATTATTACCAGTTCCCAGCTAGGTAACCCTACCACTGCATACCTGTGCCTGTGCTTTCGTAACATTACTTAACTGCAATGTTACAACCTAAAATACCTACCAGTGCTTCTGAGAGTCAGCCTTGATGTTGGTTTTCTCCCCCAATCACCAATCATTGCCAGGTTATATGAACATCTCCTTGAAGGGGTTTACAACTTTCAAACTGTGTAAACATCAATACTTCCCTCTAACACCGATTTAGAACACTGTCTTTTTGTGGCAGTGGAATAGCTCAGTTGCTAGGGGAGTGGATTGTCGTCTGTCGTCTGCGATTAGCTGCCATGGGTTCGAATCCTCAAGGTAGGAAAAAATCTGATACCTGTGCCAGTTCTTTCGAGAGTCACACGGTGTCAGCTCCCCGAATACCGAGCTGTCTGTCTTCAAAACTTCTTATGCTGCATTTGCCAATTTTAAAAATGCCTTTACGACAAATATTTATAGCAAGAAATTTGATAAACATAACATGTAGATTGTGTTTATAATTTATAATAATATAATCAATATTTAGTTTTTGTTTACAACCAAAGATTATTTATGTTATAATAAATGATGATTTTGTTTATAATTTGTAAATATCACAACAAATTGTTGATTTCTTGTCCTTATTTGTTAATAAAAATCTAAATCATGAAATTTTAACCTATTCACTAGTCCACTAGTAACTCCTTTGCTGTGGACAGATGATCGTATTTTATTGACTGATTATTTATGTCTGCCAAGAAAATTCGCGTAATTTGTCAGGCGCTCAATATGTCTTAAACCAATCGGGTTTGATGTTGATATCATGTGACGTTCAGAATGACATTGTGTACCAATCATATGATCGACAGCAAAATTCTGCTGATTGACATACACTCTAAAATATTCGCTTCATATCCCCAGGTGTAAAAATATGTTGGAAATCTGTTATGATTTGGCGAAAAAATACACCAAGCATTATAGTGACCATGATTTTACAAGGACAGCAGAGTTTGACTATGGGCTTAGTTTTACGTGGTGAATAATAAAATCTCTCCTAAAGAAATCTATCCCATAATTATAAAACAGGAAGTAGTTGAATATTTAATAATAATAATAATTGTATGTACAAAGATAATAAAAGTAATATACACAATATATCAAATATATTCAACCATTCATTCATTCATTCTTTAAACCATTCATTCATTCGTTAAACCATTCATTCATTCATTTGTTAAACCATTCACTCATTTGTTAAACCATTCATTCATTCATTCGTTCAACCATTCATTCATTTATTCGTTAAACCATTCACTCATTCGTTAAACCTTTCATTCATTCATGTAACCATTTATTCAACCATTCATTTATAATGTAGGCTACACAGGAACAGTGAAATTGAGATCTGCAAACAATTGTACAATTACTATTTTATGTTTAACAATCGAGTTTCAACAATTTACATTGTCATTTTTTTATTAACTGAAGATGACAATGTAGATTGTTGAAATGTTGATTACAATAAAACTAAGGAGTAGTATACCATAAAATGTGTTTTGATGTTTTATTGATCTCTACCTCTAAATGTGACTGAAGGGTTATCCCTTTAAATGGATGTTTAAAACAAGGATAAGTTAAATAAAATAAATAGATTTAAAATAGAATGAGATATAAAGACTACAGTATAAATTACAGGTTGATATTATACAATTTATAGATATAATTTAACAGTAGTGTTAGGTTCTAGTAGTATAATAATAAAATCACCTGTCTTTAAGGTTAATACTGTACAATTTATAGATTTACTTTAATACCATGTTCTGTACTAAAGCCAACAGAAGTTTACTTTAATATGTGCCTTGTTTTTAAGTTTAAATATTTCTTAAATGTTCACCATTGCATTCTTACATTTTCACTAGAAATTACTTTAAGGTGTTGAATGTTTTCTGTAATATTCAATGAAATGATGGTGGTATTTTACAAGATAACCTGACTGAATGAAGTGAACTGATTCTGTTTTGAGCAAATTTCTTTAAAAATTAATAAAAAAAAATCGTAAAATTTGAGCTGAATTTTATTTGGTCATAAAAATTTGAGAAAGAAATAAAAATGACTAAAGAAAAGTTCGATTTTAAAATCTTGAAATAATTTTGTGGTTTTAAAAAATAAAATCGTTGAAAAATCTTGAAATTTATTCCCACTTGAGATCATCTTTCCGTAAAGTTGTTTGTATTTTTTTCATATCGTTTAAAACATTTCTGGCTGCCACTGATCTAGGACTAGTTGGTTTATTTAATGTTTGTTTCGTTAAATTAGGTTTATTTGGAGTTCGTTCCCTTGCCGACACAGGTCTCGGTGGTAGTGATTTTTTCACAGAATTTTCTCTTTTCCTGTTTTTTACTCTTCTCTTCATTTCTGATAACTGAAAATACAAATTAAAAATGGAAAAAACATTTCTACCAAGACATCAAATGTAAATAGTAAGGTCCTAGGTAGGGATGGATATCGATTAACAAATTGAAAATGATTATCAATAACAGTCTACCGATCAATAATTGATTATGAAATGTGATAATTGATAATTATATATTCCTAGCGACGATAATCGATCTTTTCAATCATTTTACCCAGTCCTAGTTGTAGGTCACAAGAAGATTAGTATTTCATTATATTCTTAAACATTGGGCATTTTTACCCATATCTTACTTCACGGTTTTACAAACTGAGGTAACCAATCATTTCACACGGCAGGAAAATAGGTCAGTTGTCTGAAGATCGCATAGAGTAACATCAACATGTTTTTAAGGTGGTGTTTTAATATTTCTAGTTCCAAGTTTTCTAATAATTACCTTCTGTTGATGAGCTCTAACTTTAGAGATCTGTTGACTTTTAGTTTCCAGTCTTCTAACCACCCGATCTAACTCTCGTTTTAAATCACGACGTACTCCGTAATCTGACGTTTCTTCAATCTGATTGGACAGTTCTTTATGTTCACTGAAATATAACAAATATGTCTAATTAAGAAATTTAGGGAAGAAATGATTTGTCCCACTGAGAGATTTTTGTGGGATTGTGAAAAGTGAAAAAGAAATAATAATGATAATATAGATATATACTCAAAATTTATTTCACTGTGTATAATACACACCCTTTCTGTAAGGGGCCAATTTTGGGTAAAAAACTGTGCATTATATTCAGAAATATACAGTATGTAATAATTGATGTTACTTGAGTAAAAACGTTGCAATTGAGTGATATCTATGCGCGATTATTCATCAGAGCTCAAAATGAACACAAACTGAACAGACTATAATTGATATTGAATATTTTTCAATTCTCTTGATATTCAATATGCTTCAACTTAGGGTGATAATAAACAATTTCACCAAGTTTCTTTAAAATCAATCAAGTATTGTGGAGTATTTATGACCATGTTTCAAAAAACAAGGACAATAACTTTAAAAACAGTGAAGAAATGTGCTGTAGAGTGTTTACAAACTATATTGAATGAACGGAAAGACTGACTCACATTGGTTTCACATATCGCGTTGACAAATAAAACTAAACTTACAAACTAAGTTGTCCGAACTCGTCCTGTAGCTGTTGTAATATTTCTGTCATGTCACTATCTAGACTAGTAGTACTGGAAGCAGACGACACACTTCCCGACCGTCCTCCGTGGTTATACATAGACGAACATAACGCTAGGTTGTGAGATTTCATCATAGAAATTACTTTCTGGATATTAGCACCTACAGAATGACTTGGAGTTGTGGCCTGAAAATTAAATATTCAAAAAACAAATCAATATGAAAACTGCCATGATATCCAGACAGTAAAGCAATATTTTTTATCTATGATCTAATTGCTTGTATACTATATTTTCTCTTTAAAACATCTGCCAATTTGACACCTTCTCCAAAAATGTGTCCAATCAATGCCAATAAATTTCACTGTTTCTTTGGGAGGTGACACCAGTAAAAGGAATCTTAATGAAACGGTGTTACTCAAGGGAAGTAACTTGTAGTGAATTAAAAGATGTTACTCACTGTTCCAGCTACAAAAGGTATCTCGTTTAAATTGAGTCTATAATGAGAGGATGGGTCGTAATGTTTACTACAACTTTTATGAGGATGATTTTTATCATTCCCAGATTTCTTTTTCTTCTTTTTCACGATTTTTTTAGTTTTAGGTCGCTCTGACAGTTTAATAGGATGTTCATCTAGTCCGTTATAATTATTCTCGGGACTGGTATATACAGCTTTAGCTCTGGCTTGTAGCTGGAAATATAAAAAATAAAATTTTCTAGAAATGAATACATGTTAGATTCTGAATAGACGACACAAAGTTCTCAGTAGCTTTGATGTTCAGTGTTCAATTTCAGAGGAAATGAAATGAATGGAGTTTTACATCCTATTTTTCTGCACCATGTGGGCTAATGAAGACGGGCAACGTCATGCAGGTTGTAATGAGGGAAATTTTGCCAGGACAGCAGCATTAACCGGCTCTTTTTCGATTTCCCACTGTCGAGAGATCTTTAACATGCACAGCCTGTAGAACACGGGGCCTCGGTTTATAAGAACGACAAGACGCTTTTTCCATGTCAGCCCCTCTTACCTGCATCACTGACAGGGGGTTGTAAAATCCGAAGGTATTATCTCGACCTATGCCGGGATTGAACCCTGGACTTTCAGGTTAGCAAGCAAGCGTCTAACTCACGGAGCCACCGCGAGAGTTTATGAATGGAAGTAATTTGTATTCATTCAAGGTCAATTCATGTGTCTATCTAATAGGACCACACAACATTCAGCCTGTCTATAAGATTCAGTATCATTTTAGACTTACATCATTAGCACGATCCATGATCATTTGACGATGAATATCTTCTTCTCTTAGTTTCTGTTCTAATTCACGTATTTTATTCTGTAATTATCAAATTATAGTCACATTAATAAATAAATATTCTATATTCTTAAAACTTCATAATGAGACAGAGTATAAATAAACAGGTATTGACAAACTACAACACGAAACCTGAAATCATAAACCATATATTGACAAAAAAACATATACAAATGATATATTTCATCATATTTTGACGAATATCAAACTATTGGTTTGGCCTCAGTGAGTTACAGGCTATACCAGGGTCTTGTTTATGACCCCAGCATGGGTTGAGATATTTTATCAATCCAGTTTCCACATCAATGATGCAGGTTGAAAGGATTAACACGGAGTCGTTTGGATGAGATAATTAACTGAGGTCCTGCTCGT